AATTTATTAATAATTGGTTATGTCTTGATGTTATTTATTGTCTAGGTTCTTGGAACTCCAACACGCGAGGAAATTCGTTGTATGAACCCGAACTATACCGATTTCCGGTTTCCTCAAATAAAGGCCCACCCTTGGCACAAGGTATATCTCTTTGACATATGTTACTTTTATTGGGTCTTCAATGGTCCATTTGGAACTTGGAAAATGCTGGGGAAAGAAAATATAGATGATAAATGGATTACATTACATTGGAAATTTGGAAGGATGGAAAATGTGTGGGTAAAATGCAAATTTTGCTTCAAACTCCATAAATCTATTTTAAATATTTTTCGAACTCATTTTATTTTAATATTTATGTTATTATAAATATAATTCTAAGAAATCTAAACATATTTTTTAAAAAGACAATACGTGTTTCACCTTCATTTAGTTTTTTCGTGGTAAAATCAACACATGAAAATAACTTGGCATTTGTTTTCATTTCCTTGCCATTTTCCAGAGTTCCAAAAACAGCCCTAGTGATTCTTTTTTATTACTTGGTAATATTGTGTGATGATGATTTTTTAGCTTTTCAATAAACGCATGCCCTTTTTAATTACTTGGTATTATTGCGTGATGATGATTTTTTAGGTTTTCCATAAACGCATGCCTCCAGAAGCAATTGATCTTGCATCTCGACTGCTGCAGTATTCTCCGAGTCTGCGTTGCTCTGCTGTAAGCTCAACCGACTTTTCTTGTTTAAAATGATTTTTTTTAAACAATGTCTTAATGTGGTTTACAGGGCAAATTATATCTTCCTTGTTTGGTGAGCACTACATACGAGTGATTACGTGGCTTCTTTTTTTGCAGCTAGAAGCATGTGCACATCCTTTCTTTGATGAGCTTCGAGAGCCTAATGCCCGGCTTCCAAACGGGCGCCCGTTGCCTCCGCTTTTTAATTTTAAACAGGAGGTAAGCCTGCGCCCTACAAATCCCCTATATTGATGGGCCATGTTCTCTTCGCCTTAATTTTACTTAGTAACTGGACTCTAAAGACTAATAGTTTGGTGGGTGTTTCTTTGCTTATAGGTCAGATGATGACATGTTTTTTTGTGCTTATAAGTTGATTTATAGGTTAAAACAAACTAGGTCTTACCTACTTATTTTGTAAGCCCGTTTTTTCATTTTTTCTCGTTTTGATTAAATCACTTATAAAGCTGTCCTTAACCTTTTATGAATATATCCAAATGACTCATCTCTCATTTAAGTAACTTCACAAAAAAAATACTACCTCCGTCCCAATGTATTTGTCCAATTTGACTTTTTCGAGTCAAACTAAACAAACTTTGAACTCCAATTACTCTCAATTTATATTGCATATTAGCATAATGAAATACCATTTTGAAAGTTCTCAATACAATAAATCCAATAAAGTTATTTTTATGTTAAAATACATTACGGTTTTTATTTAACTGAAGCTCAAAGTTTATCCAGTTTGACTCGAAAAAGTCAAACTGGACAAATACACTGGGACGGAGGGAGTACTTCATTAAGCACTATAAGCAGCTTATAAGTTAAAAATTGTTTAGCTTATAAGCACCAGCACAAAGAAGAAACGCCTCCTAGTTTTGGACTCTGGTTGCTACAACCTTTAATAAATATAGTATAAAACTATAATAAATTTTTGCTAAAACCGGTACCGAAGTCGAAAAGAACATGGCCTAAATGGTTTTCTCATCCCCTACTTTACCGGTCCTAGAAAAGTCATCAATTTTCTTCCAAAGAAAGAATTGTGCAGCTGATATTGATACTTTATTTTCTTAATAATAAATTTAAGTCCAGTCAATCATTTGAGTCATAAATCATCTATCCCGGACACAAATTAAAGTGCCCGGGATACATGATGATGTAGCAACATGAATCATTTGTTGTCACAAAAGACATTATTGCTTGTGCTTATTAAGTAAATTTCATAAATGATCCCTTATAGCAAGTGATTTTACATATTTAGTCCTCAATTCTAAGATATTACATTCGTGGTCCTCAATTTTTGAAAACTATTTCATAATTAGTCCTCTATGCCAAATATGACCAAATATTTTTTTACAAATATAGTTCGCCAAGAGTTTGCGAAGGACTAATTATGGAAGAGTTCTAAAAAATCAAGGACCACAATTGTAATATGTAATTATTGTGGCCGAAATATGAAAAACCACGTGTTATAAGGGACTATTTATGAAATTACTCTTATTATTATTATCCAAATATTATTTGCAATTGCTGTAGTTGCATGGGGCCTCGCCGGAGCTCATCAACCGATTGATACCCGACCACATGAAGAGGCAACTCGGCATGCAATCATTCCCGTCCCACGGTGGAGGCTTGACGTGAAACCCTAACTTGCAACCCCATACTCTTCAACGTCCGGGACCCACGAATCAGAGTGCTTCGATAGACAACCCACCGCGGAAAACGGCTGTATCTCCGAATCCCCATGCGTAATTATATGTCCTTTTACGAAAAAATGTATTATTGTTGTACCATTTTTTTCCTCATCTTTCTGTTCCATTCTGCAACAACCTCAGTGCCACCTTATGGAAGAAATCCCATTTGGTTGAACCAAAGACAACTAAACAAGTTACATGTATGGGAGCAGTGTGAAGTGAAAGCCTCCAAAAATTATTGGAAAAAAAAAACTATTCTATTCTTTTTTTTCTTTAAAAAAAATCTTTTCAATGTGGGGGTTTTGTCTTTATAACGTGTCTTGGTTCAATGTTACATAACATGTATTGTTGTATCTATATTTTCCTAAGATTAATGTTTCATACAATGTATTGTTGTAGCAATATGTTTCGTAAGTTTCATTGTTTTTCGCCCTTTCTTTTTTGTCATTTGCGGCATTTAATAAAAATATTTTGTACATTACTTTTAAAGTAGGAACATATTGTGATAATAGGAAAAAAAATGTATGCTGCAAATTTTAATGTCCACTTCGATCCATTGTGGTCATTTTTAGGATTATGTCTTATCTATGGCCTTGTTTGGAAAAAGATGTTTTTAGTTAGCGTTCATGTTATGAATAATTGATGAACATTGCCATAAGATAATTTTTAAATATAGAGTAATAATCTTTCTCCTACTGCCCCCAAATTTCAACCTTTTTTTTGGAGTTTACAAAAATACTTTCTACTAATTTTTTTTAATAACTTTTAACAAGTGAATGTTTATTTGACATCTAACATTTCTCTTTCTAAATAAATTTTAATTAAAGAAATCACCTTAAATAAGAGTAAAACATAGAAAAAGTATTCAAGTAGGAGTTTCATATTTTTATTCTCAAAATAGGAGTTTATAATATGATAATGTGACACTTTATATGGATATTTTATAATATTTTTTGGTAACATATATGTTTATGATTGACATTCTATATACAATTTAACTTCTATTTTGAGAATAAAAATATGAAAGTTTTATTTTGGTATATTTTTTATATTATATCCATAGTTTATTCTTTTTTTTTCCTTTTAATTATACGTAATTTTTTGTTGTAATTTTTTTGGGAGGGATGGAGTATTATTTGGTATGCATTAAAAAGTAAAAACAAACGTGTTGAAAGTTGTGGTATTTTAGTCCAAGGCGGTGCTGGTACGCCGTCATTTCTAATGGGGGCTGTTTCGATTTTCATGTCAACTACTTTCCACTCATATTTAAAGGATTTTTCTAATGATCTTTTATTGAAGTAGGATATTTGAAGTTTTTTATAACGAAATAAAACTTATAATGTCAAATAATATTAAAAAAACAATGTGAAATTTTGATATATAATGTCAAAATGTAGATGTTTCAAAGTGTTAACATTTTATATTTAGGCCATAAAAATAGATGAAGTCTCATTTCGATATAGGGAGCAGAGTAAGTTCCAAGTCATTATCTTACTCAAATTGATTTCTTAAGTATATTTTAGTGTTGACAAAAAAAGTTAGAAGTTTATCTTAAAACAAAGTGACTAATTTCTTAACCACGAATTTAGATTTTATTTTTGTGGCGCAAATTTTTGACCTCCATTGTAAATGAATCTGATTTCTAGTAAAAATGATTTCATCCCGATTACCGAGTACTTCGTATTTAAGAACAGAGGGAGAATAGAGTACATAAGTAAATACTATTCGTAATATGCACTACAAATTGAGAATATATTCAAAAAAGTCAAATTGAATTTACTTTATTAAAAAATTTCAAAATTGGATGCAATTTAAAAGTATACTAAAATGGCTTAAATTAGACAAATACGCTGGAAGATAGGAATGCAATATAATAATCAAATGTTTTGTCTTAGTACTACTGACTCTATTACATTGTAGCAGTATCAAAATCAAACATTTTGAAAATGTCATAAAAGTATAAAATCACACGTGTTATCGTCAAGGGCACATTCTGGGAACGTCAAGCCCCCTCAAGTCTCAGGGAATGTGAGATTCAAGTCTCACATTCCCATCTATATATCAAACATTTCCAACAAGCTAATATTTTGAAACAAACGGATCCTAAGTTATTTGTACCAAAACCCACACCCCTATCTTCCCATTAATCTCAGAGATTAAAACTAAACATGCATTTGATATTGTTGAGAATAATATAAACGGATTAAAGTATATTGTCTAATAAGACATTCTTGATAAATTGAAAAACAAATGAATGTAGACATAAAGTGTGTCTACATTCATTCACTTTTTAACGTATCGAGAATGTCTGATTGGACAACCGTTAATACGGAATGGAGGGAGTATAAGAATATAAGCATGACTTTGCAAAGAGTTTATGCCATTTGGTTTGAAAAAGAAAGATAAAGAGACACTTTACCTAATTACCCTAAGTAGGGAGAATGGGTGTTTTATAGAACAACTAAAATCTCTATAAAATGTAAATAAATGAATCAAATGGAAAGTTAACCCCACTGTTTTAGTAAAGCATCAACAACCCATAACCCTAATGCATGTTTCCTTCACCCTACCTATGTCAAAGCATGGGATAATTTAATTCCTATCAAGAAGAAGAAAAAACATGAATCAAAATGATGAAATCAGGGAAAAAGCTTCAATATATCGACAAACCATAAGATAGTTAAAACATAAATTTACATACTTTGAATAAAAATACAACAGCGCCCGTCTCGCGGAAAGAGCGTAAAAACGTGTAATTGATACAAACAAATCTTAGTTGACAATAACAATGAAGAATATCCTAATAAACTAAATGAAACAAGCAATTGATTCAAACTCATTTACAGCCTCCTCTGCACAGACACAGGATCATGAAAACTATCACGAAAAGAATCGCCGATAAGAAGATTGCAAAACCGATAAAGAGCTTACTTGGACCATGGCTATGGTGGCGAGGTTCGTCACCATCATCATTGTCATCATCATCATCGCCATTACCATCACCATCATCGTCACTGCTGCCACTAGTAATGGAGCTCGAAGGAGGGGACATGGGCAAGCCATGCTTATCGCAGGGGGCAATCCCGAGCTTCAGCTTAGAGGACATCAATGTAGTGTGGTTGTAACAAAGGTTCGAATTCTCGCCGATCTTAAGAACAGATAATCTCTTGATGAATGAGGCATTGAATGGGAAAATCCCCTGGAAGTTGTTGTTCTCAAGATTCAAGAATTTCAGACCCTTCATCTCAGATATGAACTTGGGGATGGTTCCGTTGAGCTGGTTGGAGCCGAGATCGAGATGAACGAGTTCCGGGATTGCTGCTAATGAATCTGGAATAGGGCCCGAGAGTGAATTCGAAGACAGAGACACGTTCTTGAGCGAATTCAAGTCCCCGAATGAAGTCGGGATTGTTCCATTGAGTGAATTTGAGGAGAGATTTAAAATTTCTAGGTTTTCGAGCTCAGTTAGGGATGAAGGTATTCTTCCTCTGAGGCTATTTCCGGACAGATCGATGTAAGTGAGATTAGGGTTCCAATGTCTGGGAAGAAATCCGGTGAGATTCGCCTGAGAAATCGTGAGGGATTTCAGATTTTTGATGCTATTGAGGATGACGAAAGGGCCGCTGGCTTTGATCGGAACCCTAGAGACGTTCAATTCGGAGAGACTCTGGAGGCGGCCGAGCCAGACTCCGGTGAGCTTCTTGAGGCTGTTGACGGCGGTGAAGGAGCGGAGATTGGAGGCGAGCTCGGAGGGGAAGCGGATGGGGGAGATGGGGCAGTCGACGAACTCCAAATCCGTCAGGGTGGAGAGGGACTTGAGGGCGGTGAGGGACAATGCGACATCGTCGGAGCAATTCGAGAGCTTGAGGGAGATCAGGTGGCGGAAGGGGTCGGAGCCGTCGCAGACGGTGGCGGAGCTGTGGAGGGGAGAGCACGGGTCCTTTCCGGTGGGGATATTCAGCGATTGGAGAGCTCTCAGCTGCTTCGGGTCGAGGGTGGAGGTGGAGGTGGAGATCACCGGCGGCGGTGGTTCGACGGCGGAAGAGGGTGCGCTAGCCGGAGAAATGGTGGGGGAGCTGGTGGCCGTAGGAAAGAGGAGTAAGATGAGAGTGAGGGAGCTAAGAAGGCGTTGAAGATCTGCAGCCATTGGAGCTGGCGGTTGTTTTCTCAGGCAAGGATAATATGGAGGTTTTGTACTGTACTTACTCCATTTTGGATGGAGAAGATGGGAAAAATGTTGGAGAAAGAAACTTAGCTAAGTTATAAGGAAAATGCTAGCTCCATTTTGGTGTACCCCATTTGTCCCTCACCTTCTCCATTATCACTGAATTAGGCAAAAAAAATTAAAATAAAATAAGTAAATAAAAATCAAAAATAAATGAATGGTTATTGAATGGGTGGTGTACAAATGGGGTACACCATTTGGTGTACCCCTAACATGACCCAAGTTATAATGTTATACTAACACATTATTACACCTTATACCCATATTTCATTCGTGAAATTAATGACTCTTATCTTTGAACCAATTTCCTCGTATAACAGAATGAACCAATTTCCTATTAGCCTTTTTTATTTGTCCCGCATAAATCTTTTCATTACCTTTTTTAACATTTAAAATACCACAACTACCCCTACTTACTTTATTTATTACACCTTTTCCACCTTATTTAATACACCCGACCTATTTTCATTAAGAATATTTTGGTAAACTTTCACTTTTTTCAACTCTCTTTAAAAACCACCAAAAGTCAAAACGAAAAGATTTTAGGAGGACGGCGGGAGTATTATTTAACAATAAAATTATTCGTGTTAAAAAAAGTAATGATGCCACGGTAAATATGTGGAGTAATATAGTACAACAATTCTTATATTTAAAATCATACTCCCTCCGCTTTCTAATAACTTGTAAAATATTATCTCTTTTAGAATAGTTTTATTTACAAATTAGTATGGAAATAAAAAGTGTAACTTACATTTTATGAAATTACATTAAAAAAAACCCACAAATAAGTGGTAACATCTAACATGCCTATTTTTTAATTAAATGATCCATTCAACCGCACACGTAAACAAAAATTATCAGAGACAAGAATAATACGATAATTTTGGGACAAACATAGTGTTTTCACGGCAAAAATAGATTATTAATTTAATAAAAATGTTGTTACATATTAGTACAAAAATAAATTAATTAGATTGATCTTGTCAAATACGAGTATATCTGTATATCTAAGCTAGAGATTAATTTATGCAAACGAACTATAGTGAGCCCAAATGTCACAATTTCGGCCCCATATTAGCCAACCTGTACAAATTAACACTTTACCCAATATCACGCGAGTGGCCCACCACTAGCCCCTTGTATTCATTCCAATGAAATGAGAATTAACAGAAATGTCCCTATTTTGGGCCCTACAATTACCAAATCTGCTAGATTTTAGTTTGGGCTGTAAAATGAACCTTCTCATAGTTGGGTCAACCTCAGAACTAGGCCCGCTAGTTCCTGCTCTGCTTTTTTTAGCTCATAAATTCCAATTCTTTCCTTCCAAAGTAAGTAATATTCTCGGCGGCGTCGCACAAAACATTTTTTATTTTAATTTTTAGAAAATCCAATGGAGAGTCATTTTTCCTTTGACTTGCCCAAACTAGGGGTGACTTGCCCAACATGAAAATTAATTTTTTAAAATAGTTTGACTGTAACGTTTGAATTCGTGGCTTCTTGGTCATTAAGGTTACAATCTTACGTCATGAAGCCAACTCAACAAAAGTTCAAATAAGTGGTTGAGTCCACAATAGACTTTATACTCTAACACATGACAACACCATATATATATATATATATATATATATATATATATATATATATATATATATATATATATATATATATATATATATATATATATATATATATCTTATGATAAAGTTCAGTGGGACAAGCATAGCATGGGGGGACCCACACTCGTTCATGGAGAAACCTCCCAACACCCCATTCTAACCCTTCTTTTTTCTAAATGCACTTGATGTTTTTTTTCTTACCTTGAGGGCATCCATCATAATAGACATGAAGTTAAAATCCAGGCCAAACTTGGGTCGATACTGTGATAAAAAGTGTCATGTGACTATCATAGCGTAGGGGACGCCCAATTCATGCGCGCGCATTTGCGTGATAGGCCAACATACAAGCCCATAAGAATTTCATCCTAAAACCATTTAGCTATAAGAGGAGAGACCATTAAACTTATATCTTTAGACTTTTTTTATTTTTTCGATATGGGAGAAATCTTCCAACATATTAAATAGTAACTAGATATTAGACAACTAAGAGAGAGTGTATTGGGCGTGATACCCACTTTACTCCCCACTATGGCACCCAAAATGCACCCCATCGGTGTTGAGTCCTCCCCAAAAATTGCTAGCCTGCAATTTGCTCATGGCGCCACCCTCCTCCCATCCCTCTTTCTCTCATTGAATTACTATTTTTACATCTATCTCTCTCATGTAATTTAATAAAAAGTTAGAAAAAAATTGTATAATGATGAGAGGAGGGTTTTGGATCTTGTACTATACAACTTTTTAGTTATCAAATTCCTTGATGATATGAGTGTCACTTGGTGCATAACGCCCCTCAAGGGCCTTTATGACTACACATGCCCTAATGACTATGGGCAATGGTAATGGTCGTAATGCCCCACGGCGTCATTGTCCTTTTAACCCGTGAGGGGTGTTAAACCCCGCCCCCTGGGACTTCGTCCGGGCGTTATTGGCATTGCGTCAAACTTATAACGGGCGTTTTGCACTGAATCCATCCATTCAAACGGCCACAAGCCATTACAAACTAAAAAAACTCTTCTATAAATTAACTCATTTTTAAAAATAAAACTCACAAACAAATTCTCTCTCTTCTTCAATTTAAAAAAATAAACATCCACAAAATCTTTCCCTCTCTCTTCTTCAAATTAAAAAAATATTCAATTTTTTTCATTTTTTTAACATGAATCTCTTCAGTATTAATGTTCCTTTGTCCAGTTTCGAGTCAAACGACCAAGCGAATATAATTTGCTTTCGAGAGAAGACATAACGAGATCAAGACTAAATATAATTTGTTTTAGGTTTTTAATTAATGTACTTTTTTTAATTAAATGTTCTTTTTCTATTGAAGGTAATTATTTTTATCTAATGAATTATTTTCTTTTAAATTTAATTAATTAATGAAATTCTATTAATTTAATTTTATAAAATATGTAATAAAAAATTAAAAAAATAAAAGTTTGAAGCCTCGGGACTTCATACCCTTTTACAATGAAACTAGAGATATGTTAAAGCTGAGATGACAGAACGAGAAATTTTGAAGTTCCGGTTTGAAGCCCGGGACGTCAAAGTTATTTCTAGTGCTATAATGGACATGCACCTCTTTGCCACTTACTTTAAAAAGTCGAAATTTTGAAAATAGATTGTCATTGATATAAAGAGTACCTAGGGCTCTAAAGTGGGTGCAAGATGTTGGGGTTTAATGGGAGGGTTAGGGTAGAAGCCATTTCTAGGTTGAGGAGAGCATTATAGGTTCTCAAATAGACTTATTATCATAAATTAATAAATTTATATTAAAATATAATGGCAAATAGAATTGTGATTTTACAGTAAACACATTAGTAAAAACATGCAATAAATTTCAAAATATTTAATTTACTACAAATTATGAGCATAGACTAGAATACCAATCTAGATAAAAAATTACTATGGTCTCCACTCTGGTTAAAGAGAGATTATATTTGTAGTGCAACTACATGCCCATTAATTATGACATTTAATTAGTGATCGTAATTATGTAACGTGATCAGTTGGAAATTCATTCAAGTTTCTTCCAAATCCTTTCATCTCATCGAGTATCATCCAAAAAATGGCCTAAAAAAATATTTATATATAATTAATAAACAATAACATTATATATCTAAATTTATAACATATTACCTCAAACAGTGATAGAAATGATTTTTTTTCATCCAAAATTAGAGTTTTGTTATATATTTATTTAGGTGATCATTTAATTTACTGGTTCTTTAACACTTTAATTCTTCAATCTTCTTATGACTTTTTTTAAAAAAAATTCCATTTTATTTCAGTTTCTTCTAAGTCCCCTTGTCACCCTTACTCGTCCTCTAACCAGGATCAGTACAGCCCGCAAGACTAGGCCTCGGTTTGGGAATTGTCATAGCCCAAATACCTTTTCACATGGGCTTACGAGCCAGTCAGTCAAATCTTTACACACGGGCTTGACGCAATATGGATTAACCTTAACATCTTGGGTCTGGTAACAATGTATGATAAACTATTGCAAAAAAAAAATAATTGAAAACATCAAATAGGTAAGAAGAAAGTATATATAACTTGGAACATATATAACTAAAACTAAAACATATACATACCCTCTCCCTTCCAAAATTATTTACATCTTTACTATTATAGTCTCTCGATAACTTTTGTTTGTTTGCATGTTTTAATTAACTACTCCGTATTTAATAAAATAAAAATATTTTTATCATCTCTTGTTTTGTAGACTTTTTGAATAGTTTATAAAAATATGGTTTTTATTTTTAATTTTTATACCAATTTGTTAATAAAATCATTTTAAAATTTATATGACTTTACACGTTAAACAGAGAGTGTAATTCATTTAGAGATGGATTGAGTATAATATAATTTGACCAAAAAATTTAAATTGAGGTAAACTTTTTGGAACATATGAAGTATTCCTTCCGTCTGGAAATGTTCTTCTCATTTTTTCTTTTTGGTCCATCCAAAAATATTTTTCTCGTATCCTTTTTATGTATACTTTTTTAGGATAAATTTTAATAATATCGTTCTATTTTACCTTTAATATACTTTTTTAATAAGAAAAGAAGAATTAAAAGTTTATAGTACGTGAATTTTTAGAAATTTATCACTTTTTTTACTAATCTTTAATAAGCGTATCAAGTCAATACGTGAATAACATTTTTGGACGGAGAAAGTATAATTTAGTCTTAGTAATCACTAACAAATTGGCATAGAAGCTAGGGTTTATGAAGTCAACCCTAACGACAAATCACTCAACCAAAATGGCGCAATTAACCCTCTCATTATGTTACATATAAGTAATAAATGATAATTAATTAATTATAACTATTGGACCAAGCCATGTGAGCCCGCAGTGCTGATTTTATGCATGCATATTTCAGCCCATTTGACAATGTTT